CCCCCCCCCGCAGAAGCGCTTCTGGGAGGAGTACGTGCGGGAGAGCAGCCCGGCGGGGGGGCTGGAGACCATGGTGGGCGGCGTCCACTCGCTGTACCTCATCGTGCCGCTGCTGCTGCTGCTGCTCATCATGGCGGCCGTGGCGGTCAGCGTGTGGCGCTGCCACTCCCTGAAGCGCGCGCAGCCCCGCAGCCCGGGCCTGGGGCCCCCCCACCACGGCCACGTGCTGTCGGTGGTGTCCAGCGAGCGCTGGGGGCGGGACTACCAGCACGCCGACCCGGCGGAGCTCAGCGTGCACAGCAGCCCCGCCTGGCCGGGCTCGGAGGGGGGGCCCGGGCGGGGGGGCGACCCGCCGCCCTCCTACGAGGAGGCGGTGGGCCACGGCGACGTGCTGGTGGAGACGGAGCCCCCCCCCCAGTACGAGGACATCGTCAACAGCAGCGCCAGCAGGGGCGGTCAGAGGAAGTAGAACCCCCCCCCACCCACACACACACATCCCAGACTGTCCACACTAACCTTTCAGGAAGGAGCGGGCGACCCCGCCAAGCCAAAACCGGTCACCAGCTGGGCCGCCCCCTCCCCACCGTGGGGGCGACATGTAAGAGGACGACCCGCTTCATCAGCAGAACGGTGCCAAGTGTTTTTTAAAAAGCTGAGCCGGTGGCGTCTGGTGTTTTTGTACATAGATTTAATATCTTTATATAACTCTGGGCATGTTGCTGGCAAAGTAACCTGTATGCGTGTGTGTGTGTGTATATATTTATATATATATATTACACACACAGTTTTTTTTTTTTTTTAAGTTAAGAGTTTGATATGGATGAGCAGGCTCTTTTCTCTCATTAAGCCATGAAGCCGTCTGAGCCACCTGACACCAGCTAGTTCCAGCAGCAGTTTTTACTCCACAGCTTATGACCGAGTCGCTCAAATTTGACACGGACTCCTCGGACTGGGTCCAAGTGACTAATTCGTGAGGAACACATCCTCAGACTAGTGATCCTGGAGATTCCCGAAGGGGGAAGAAAAGAGAGGCGTTTTGTATATAGGTGAGAAATGGGCTTTGTACTTTAGATCTCGGTAATTCGTGAAGCTCGGCCCGTCAGGACTCACTGACTCCTGTCCATTCACAGCTGCTCTCTCTCCATATATATACATATATATACACACACACACACACGTGTATATGTATATATTTTACTGTGAAACCCTCCCCCCATCCCCGGCCCACCAGCAGTCCTGAATTCTCCTCATAACTGGAGTTTTGCGGTGTTCTACTTTCCCGATGTGTGCAGCGACACTGGAATTTGGGGCCAGAGCAGCAGGATGAGAGCTGTTTTTCCTTTTGTGTTTTTTTGTTCGTCTCCATATCAGATGTTACTAAAGGACCGACTTGATGTTTAGCATGTGCAATGCAGCTCCGTTCTGTGTGCGTAGAGATTGTAACGCGTGGAAGTTCAACGTGAGATTATTTAATGGCATAGGAATACGTAAACTGTACTACAGTAGCTTGTAAGCCAATGAAGGCACTTTTGTGTTCACGCTTCAGAAGGAAACGTTAGACGAGGGGTGGGACAGCCCTGGTTTTTTACGTCACCAGCCTCAGAGACAGCGACGGTCACAGGAGAACATATATATGCAATTTTTGTTAGTTTTTTTTTTTTGCTAAAGAGCCCACCATATACAGATGTCACAGCGATTGGCTGCCCACGCTTAAGACTCTGAGCACTGATTTGTTGCTGCGTTTGTGTCGCACTTCCGCACTGTGCCGCTAGGGGGAGCCACTCGGCTCATTCCAGCTGCCAGACTGTTACCGACTGACTGGTTTTTTACAAATGCCTTATTAACTAAATGTTATATAACAGTACATGCAAGGGGACTTGTAAGAAAACATACACAGACACACAAACAAACAAAAAATGAAGAAAAAAAACTTGTGCAAAAGCTTGAATTAACGTTTGTAATAAAAGATTTACAGTGTGCGCCGTTGTTTTTGGTTTCAGTCGGATCTCGATTTGGAGCATTTCTGTGCTTTCAGGGATAATTTTACTTTTCCTGTTGGATTTCAACGATTTCTCACTAACCAGGATCATACCAAGGATTTCTGAAAACCTCAAATATGATGGAAAATTAACTTACATGCTCTGTCCACCTAAAGTCAAACATGATGATCGAAGAAAAAGCAACTAAACCAACGGTATTGTTTGCCCATGTTCAGATAAAGCAGCAGGTGACTCATTAACCTCCTTCCAGAGGGGGAAAAAACTGAATAACCAAACTAAACTGGAGGCAATTCATCCTTCGCAGCTACGATTGTCAAAAAAAAATCCCTGCTCTGAGAAGTGCATGTCAAAACTAGATTTATTGATAAATAACAGCGGGGACATACAGAATGACTCGGTTTGCCTCTCTTTCCCCTCAGTGCTTCATTACGTGCAGGAGAGAGTGCAACTCCGGACATCTTCAAGTAGAGTGAGCCAATTTCATCTCCGGCATAGGAAAAAAAAAGGAAAGGAAAGAAAACTCTTTCTAAAAGGAGTAATTCATCAGAGGGATGACCTGGAAGCAGGTCGCCTGCGATGTTACATTTGTTTTTGCCTCCTGACGGTGAGGGTGGGGAACGGAGCTTATTTCGCTGTGGACAGCAGAGCCAAACTGTGTCTGAGGTTTGGTGAAGTTTCAAGAAGGCTGATTTAAAAAGGTTTAAGCACAAAGAGAAAGAGAGAGAGAGACAGAGAGAGAGAGGGAGGGGATCAGCGGGCCTGCTCTTCTCTCAAACTGCTGAGTAAGGCCGTAGATTAAACCCGCTGGGAAATTAAGATCTTGTCAGTCGGGACTGAGGGCTCTTGGGGGGTTTCTTTGTCTGTTTTGGGGCCCAGCTCACACCCACTCCTTCGGGTTCCTCAGCACCTCCAGCATCTCGGCCTCCCTGGTGCCTTTGGCGGGCTCGTGCATGTACTCCCACCTGAGGGGGGAGGAGGAGGCTGTTAGACTGACCAGGACGGGACGGCACACCGAAGGGGGCGAGGGGACGAGCACCCACCTGGCAGTGAGGGGGAGGGACATGAGGATGCTCTCGATCCTGGAGCCCGGCGTGGCCAGGCCGAACTTCACCCCCCGGTCGTACACCAGGTTGAACTCCACGTATCTACAAGAGCCAAAAAAAAGTTAATAAAATGCCTCAAAACCACAAGATTTTACCCAGCAAGCAGTGACGTGAAAGTTTTTTTTTTATTCATTATATTGTTTAAACTTTAAAACAAAACTACACATCTGAATCTGAAACTGTTAGAGAAATGTATTCCTGATTTAATCAGCCAGACTCATTCATATCCATTACTTTGTCCAGCCTCAGACCACACGGCCATTATCAAATCAATGAGCGAGTTTCCATCTCACAACCAAGCTTCCCCTCATTCATAAAGTCGGCCCTTTAGCTCATTCTCTAACAAGATGACTCCCAGCGGAGACAATGAGCCCTGCCAGGGTCTGGGCTGCCGTTAGAGCTGGAGGCCCGTGGACGGAGTCCAAGGCCGAGCAGATTAAGTTTGGAAAGCGCGGCGTCAGAAGCCGAGCAAACAATGCAAGATCCCAGTACTACCGGGTCCCATTCGCCCTGAGAGCTGTGAGCTTTGTGGCGCCACCTGGAGGAACTGAAAGCGGTTCAAAAGGTCAACGGGGAAGTTACCAGTTCTACATAAAGATGACGGATCATTTAGCTTTAAAAAGAACTGAAAGAAAGAAAGCTATATCCGGGGATTTCCTCTTGGAAGGGTTAACCGAGAAAATAGAGGAACAAAAAACTCACCACACTTATTTCAACATCTAAAACAATGAGCCACATGGGCGCAGGTCACCCTGTCAGCTGAACTCCTACACACCCAGAGAGCCACCTCTAGTTTGATCCACTCATCCTGACTCACAGAGGTCCTCCAGAGGAGGATCTCCTCGTCCAGAGGGTGTGTCCGGCGTCCCGTCCACTCACCTCCCCCGCCGGACCTGCTGCCAGTGCTTCTCCTCGTCGGTGAAGCGGTGGTCCAGGTGCTTGTGGACGATGGGGAGGTAGCAGGGCACCACGGTGCGAGCGCAGCTCGTCACGAAGCGGAAGGCCTCCTCCTGGCTGGGAGAGTCCAGGTCGTCGAAGAAGATGCCTCCGATGCCGCGGGTCTCTCCTCTGTGGCGGACGTAGAAGTATCTGTCACACCTGTCAAAGGCATGGAGTCCCGTTATTACCGCTAAATCCGAGGGCCGGTTCCCCTCCCGGGGGCAGGAGAATCTACATCTCCTCTCCCCTAAAACCCGTTTGGCGTCCGAATAAGCCTTATTACTCAGCTCGTCATATTTCCTGAAACGTCACACCGTTCCTTTAATTCTAATCAAAACTAAATTCAGAGAAAACGGACGGCCACATCTGCTGAGCCCCGCCCTTCCTGCCCGCCCGCGTCCACCCGGCCCATTAGCCAACGGTTTCTCTGCATCTGCAGATTTTAGGTCCAGGATTCTGCTTATCACCAGCCAGCAGGGAGGATCCTCCCATTGTGGTGCACGCATTCACACAATCACAAAAAAGCCCAGTCGCACATTCACCCACATCCACCCACAGCCGGCAAACCGACGGCCCGGTACCATTTCTTGAAGTCGGGGTAGTACTGCGGGTGGTGCTTGTCGCAGGCCTCCTTCAGGGTGTTGTGGAAGTGGAAGGCGTCTTCTTTATCAATATAAACCGGCGTCAGGTCTGTTCCTCCACCAAACCACCACTGCTTAGAGCCTGGACACACCCACACACACAGACACACACAGACCGAGAGGAGTTAGAAGAAAACAGGGCCTATCATTCATCAACATCCTGAATAGTGTCACCGACACCATGATGCAGCCTCTCTGTCTCTCACCATCCGCCTCCTCAATCTCAAAGTATCTGTAGTTGAAGTGCACTGTGGGGATGTGGGGGTTCTTGGGGTGGATGACGGAGCTCACGCCCATGGCACAAAACGGCAGCTTTCCTGGAAAACAGACGAACAAACAAACACATTTTTAAAGAGATAAAAAGCTCACGCTGGGCGCGCTCCAGATGTGTTTCGACCACAGCGGAGCGTCGTTCTCCTTATGTCATTATCTAAAGAGTTTGCCGGTTTTTGGTGGTTTTTCCTGCCCAAAGCTCACCATCTTTCCCTTTGAGGACTTTCCCTCTGCTCCTCATCTGCTTTGCGGCTTCCTCCGTCAGGTTCCCGAACACCACGGACACGTTGACCCCCGCCTTCTCAAACACCTTTCCGTCCTGCATCACGCAGCTGATTCCTCCTCCACCTGTCAGGAACAGGGACGTGACAGACGTGACACATCTGGGTTTTTTTTCTCTGTTTCCTGGTAGCTCCTTCTCAGGAATGCGCACGTCCTCCAGGTTCTCTAGCAGCTCCCTGAACCATCAGGATGCCCCAGAAGACCCCAGTGTGATCAGCCTACCTTCTTTTCTCTGCCACCGGTCTACCTTGAACGTCCCACCGTCCACCTCTTCTAGGGCTTTGCAAAACTCGGCCTGCGTCTCCATGATCAGCATCTCCATTCTCGTGCTCATCTCCTCCTTCCGACCCTGGAGCACGTTGACGTCGGTCACCGGAGGGGACATGAAGGCTTTGCACCTCTTCGCTATGTCCCCGTCCGGCTCGTCCTCCTCGGCCGGGGACACCCTGGACGCCATCTCCGCCCGCTGGAAGTGGCCGGCGTTGGCCATGAACCCCGCCACGGCCGCGGCGGCGGCGACCACCGCGGCCCCGCTGAGAGCCAGGGCGCCCCCCCCTCCTCCGCCTCGCCCAGCGGCTGACCCTCCGGAAGTCCCATGGGGCACGAGGCGCGCGGCGGTGCCCCTGGAGAACCACCTCACTCCCGGAAGCAGTGCCACCACGGGGCTGTGAGTGGCGGGTACCGACGACTGAGAGTGTCCTGCTTTAGCCAGGCCCCTAAAACACCGCCTCGTGGTGGCCTGGGCCGATTCCCTCACCGAAAAAAAGACAAGAGTGGCCATGTCTATGTTAGTGACTCGCTTCTCTGCCAATACGTGACAACCGTGACTAGGTAATAAGTGCTGGACACATTATCTGAAGTTGTGCTTACGTGCTATCAGTCCTATTTAAAAGTCAGGCAAAGGGGCGTGTGGTTTCTGGGTACTGATAGCGGGAATACGGGAAACGTAGTTTTGCGTGACTAGCAACACGTAGGACGCAAGCTAGCTAACGTGTTGTACACCTCATTACCCAGAGTGCAGCGCGGCCAAACATTAGTGTTGTGTTCAAGGACTTCTGTTGTGCTGCGTAGTTTACGTTATCTGACATTTCCAAACAAACCTTGACCTGAAACTGCAAAGGCTTACTTTTCTTGCTTTGTTTTTGGCTTTGAAATGAATATGTCATGTACAAAGAAATATCAGTTAGACAGTCCATGGTTTTACATATCTGCTTTTACTCTTTTACTTGAAAAACCGATTCATGTGATGACGACAACAACAGAAATGGTGATAATAATAATGATAATATATTTATATTGGAACTGATATCCGAGAAAAGTTAAAATGTTTCAGAGAATCTTTCCATAAGGACTAAACAAATGCCATACACGTCACCCATCTTGACAACAACTGGATAACAAGTATATTTTCAATTATCTAAGACAATCCTGCTTTGCTTGCTGATTTTCAAACCCTTGGGTGTTTTTGTTAGATCGTTGTTGGGAAACGTGTTCTATTAGTGGATGTACGCATGCGCAAACTGTAAGCGTGTTGTTGGTCACTATGGCGACAAGTCCATTAAACCTTTTAGAGCGTAGACGGACTGCAGGCGGATTATGTGCACAGGTGATCGTCCACAGGCCGCTACGCAATATGTGGGACAGCTAAATAGAGAAATACTCACAAAACCACCTGAGAATATTCTTAAAAAAATACTTCACCTGTGCAAGAATCTACTGCTGGTGAGTTGAACAACCAATAAGTTATTGATTTATATATATGTATTTTCCGCTATGTTTCTAAACTATTGTGGGATAGGTAGAACAGTAAAAGAAAAGATTACAAATATTTGTACATGTGCATTTTGAAGAGTAAAACCTGTTCTCTTCAAATCGCCCTGTGATATATTATTCCCCCCCTTAATCACGAGGCCATAAGAATAATCAGAAAAACAACAAGAACGCCAGAATCTGTCTTGAAGATTGCTTGAATGTCTCTGAGTTACAGCATTTCTACCATTTACAAACCATACGGTAAATGCAACAACATTTGGGTCATAATTAGGATTAGAAATACAAGACAATGAGATTAGATTTCTACAGGAAGTACTGCTGTACACCAGTAAATGTCGACATTAGGTAAATATATGCCTGTATTTTGAGCCCTTCATTTAGTTCTCGTTGTATTCATGTTCATATGTAAATCATCATCATTATTATTATAAGAAAAATGTAACAATTTGTGCCTTTGTTAAATATTTGATAGTTTGACGTAAATTATATTGTTCCACTAATAAACTTTCACATCTCCTTTCACTTTTGAAAAAATACGAAGTACCAAGCAAATCTCTTTATCGTGTCTCAGATGTAGATTATGACTGAGGTCATAAGATCTCAGGAGGAGTATGAAGATGACTTTGAAAAGGATCTGGACTGGCTGATCAGTGAGGAGAGCCAAAGTGAGGACCATGTAAGTCTGGCCTCCCTGCACCACACATTTGCTTTAACTATTGAAAATAAACTCTTCACAGGTGGCGCTGCTTGTAGTTTTAACCTGTGAAACTACGCCAGGCGTTTTGCTCTACTTACTGCAGACTGTGAACGCCTCAGCCACCCGCAGAGCTCTCTGAAAGTGTCACAGTTAAAAGTATTGGGTTACCTGAGCGGACACGTCTCACTGTTTGCATTTGAAACCAGTGCCGGTGACATCCAGTGGTATACTTTCACTGCTCCACTGCTGGATGCAATATTGATGAGCAAACAAACATATCTGTTATCACACCGGCGCCCTATTGGCTGAGATGTGTTGATGTCTCCCCTTTGGCTCCATTCAAACTGGAGTAATGAGCGTGTCCGCCTTGTCTGCCTCACAGGGGCCCAACTTCGAGGACATAGAGGCAGAAATAGACAAAGAACTGGAGGAGGATGGGAAACAACAAGGAGGAAGGAGAAAGGAAAGAAGAGGCAAAGCAATAGAGCGGATGGAGCGGGATGAGGAGAGGTGGCCCTCTCCTATGGAGCCACTGGAGTATGATTCAGACCGAGACAGCCCGAGTAAATATCTCCCTGTGGTTCCGCCGCCTCCGGAGGTTGATGAGCAGACCGACGAGGAGAAGAAATACATCTTAGAGAAGATCCAGCAGGCCAACAGGCAGTTGCAGGAGCAGGAAATCCCAGATGTGACGAGAAGGAGGCGGCTTCACTTCAAAGAGAAGCTGGTGGACCTGGTGGTGCCTCCTCTCCGGTTTGAGAAAAATGCCAACGGTGATGAGGCGGTCAGGGGGAGGGGCAACAAGGACGCAGACGCAGACACCGAGGTGTCGGGGAAGATGTCTGAGTTAAAACTCTCCCCTCGCAATGACAACAGGGCTCACCGAGGATCGAACTGTGAGGGAGGGCAGGGCCCAAAAGAGGGTAAAGTGCTCGTGGAGAAGGACGGAAAGTTCGACCTGGTGAGCGTGAAAGACGTGGAGAGTCACAGTCTTCTTCCTCCCATAGCGAACAGCTTCAGCAACGGTCCCCACTCCTCACCGTACGCTCACGGTTCTCCCTCCCCCGCCCAGACCCACACGGGCTCTGCCTCCTTTCACCCGGGTGCGGATCACCTCCGGGCCCCCAGGCCTCCCGCGCAGCCTAAGGTCCGGCCCAGCTCGGCCAGCCAAAGCCAGAGAGCCAACCAGAGGAGGGACAGCCGGCGGCGGGTGCAGTCGGCCTCCGGGTCGCCCTGCCAGGCCACCTACACCCTGTCCCCGCAGCAGAAGGCCCTGCTGCAGAGGCTCCAGGAGAGGAAGGAGAGGCTGACCAGAGAGGTACAGGCCCAATCTATTTTTACGAGCGCGTTTTACCTAGCGCTTACTTACAAACTGATGTTTGAACCCCCATTCGTCTACAGGCAGAGGAGAGAAAGCGCGAGGAAGAGGAAATGAAGAGGCAGGAGAACGAGCAGGCTTTCAAAGCCTGGCTGATGAGGAAAAGGGAGCAGCTTCAGGAAGAGAAAAGGGTCCTCCGAGCCCAGGAGTTAGAGAGGATGAACGCCAAGGTATGACATCTACAACTTTGAGGGCAACGATAAAGAATATGAAATTTAAAATCTCCAACTTCAAAGGAAGAGCATTTGTTGCTCGAATCCAGTCGAACTGGGCGGCTTTATTAGATTTGTATCTTCTTCTTACATTTTCACCCCAAGATTTTAAGTTTAATACATGCTTCTTAAGTGATAGAAAAAAGTCTCCATGATCACTCATTTAAGTGTGTTATTAGAGAAAGTCATTTTAAAAATTTAAATGTTTCTTCAGTGTTGTTCATAGTTCTTTTAGTACCGTAATAACTGTTTCTGTGTTCAGACACCCAGAAACAAAACGCTTACCCTAAAAACTATCTGACTCATTGAACCCAGGGTTTTTCATGAGCGTTCTATTTTTTCCTTTAAAAAGGCTCAGTTTTTCTAATCTCTGCGTCTTCTCAAAGAGAGACCCCACCGACCCAGAGGAGGCCTTCCGGCTGTGGCTTCAGAGGAAAGAGGAGCAGCAGCAGAAGGAGAGGCAGCTCGTGGAGATGAGGAGGCTGGAAGAGGACAGTGGCTACTTTTTACACAGCCGCGAGGAGTGTGAGCATGCCTTCAAAATGTGAGTTTGATCCTTTTGTCCTTTTTAGAAATGAAAGATAAGAAAACATTAGTATGACATTATCATGTCTGAGTTTATGAGGAAAGACGTTTTGAAACTGGAAATTTCTTAGGATTTAGGCTTTGGCTACCCTATGATGCATTCAGTTCTTGCATTTTCTGATAAGACAGAAGTATGTCTTATACCATATCCACAAGTTTGAGACGGAGTAATACTCTTTAATTAGAATGAAATCAGTACAATACTGCTCCTCCCAAAACCTCACCACTGACCTTTTCCTTCCCCAGCTGGCTGAAGAGGAAGCGGGCGGAGAAGCGGGCGGAGCAGCAGGTGGCCCGGGAGCAGTCCCGCCGGCTGGTGCTGGAGGAGAGACGGGCGCGCCGCATGAGGGACCTCAGGTGTAGTGTCAACGAGAGCAAATCCTTCAGGTTTACCGAGCAACTGGCCTTCCACTTCTGACCCACGCGGAGCGAAAACGTCTCCTTTGAGTTTCAAAGGAATTAGCTTAAGACTGATAGTCTACATCTCCGATGTGAACTGTACAGTGATGCGTTGGGAATGTTTATCCTGTTTGTTTGTCCCCTACCTCATGCTGTGCGAAAGCATAGCTCCATAAATATAAACCATGACCTCTTCCGATTGATTTATTTATTGGTAAAGATTCCTGTGAATATTTGCTGTGTTTTTTGGTGAATGTTTGACATTATTACCTCTTTACTGTGTTTACGAATGGATTGCGCGGTGTGAGATGGACCCTAATTTGCTTCTAAACTGCCGTATTGTGCATCTTAGATGTAAGAACAACCATTTCTCGCTGTTTGCCTTTTTGTCAGTGTTTGTATGCTTGTGGGTCATCTTGAAAGTTATCAGTTGTCCCGTCCAGTTTTCCACAATACATTTTTAAAGCTTATTTTAAACTGATTAATTTCCTTTTCTATGACCATTAAACACATTCCTCTCCTAAACCACAAAAGCAAATACTGTTTTTTTGGAACCTCTACTTAACTTCTTAGAAAGTCATCAGGTTCCTTGTTATGACACTGCTTCTTTCCCAATGTTTAAAAATCCACCATGTTTCTGAAGAATTCTGGCTAATGTTGAGAAATATTTTCCATAATCTCTCCACCCAGTTCTGCTGCAGTTTGCACTCCCGTTTCAGTTTATAAAACTTGCCCGCCGTCACTCAAACTGAAAGTACGAAATAGGAACAAAACATTTATCGGTGCTGCTCATCTCCCTCAGTAAGCATGAAAAGGGGAGGGGGTTACCGCACAGTTAGTACTTCTATGATAAAAAAAGAAAGATGACATGTAAAAATAAACTTCCTTTTTGACTGTCTTAACGGCTGGAAGAAACAAAAAAGTCTTCAGATCTTTGTCGACTTTTCTATTTTGATAGGATGTTGCAACGTCGGCATGTAAAATGGATTTAGGTCACATCTTCTGGAAAAGACGACTGAAATAACTTTATTTTGAGATATCAAAGTCAGAAGCAGGGTGTCAACTCATAGCTCAGCTTTGTGTTGTCTGATTTCATTAGTTTCTAACAGCACATATACTGTAGTTAGTCACTCAACCTCACATCCAGGGTAGTCAGGATGAAATCTTTAAATCTGTGTAGAAAGTAGGCTGTCCAATATTAGAAAGCAGAATTCTTCAATTGTAGTCCAAAGGTAAAACCAAAAAACAGAGGAAAGAGATATTAATTTATATCTATCAGTAATAAAGTCATTCATCAAGACATTTATCCAAATCTTAATTTTTAATAATTTAACAGGGCTTACAAGGAAAGTGATATAGGGTCAGAAGAAAACTTTATAGGTGTTCTTTAGTTTTTATCCGTCATGGCTGTGTCAAGAAGGGCATCATGTGTAAAAACAGCATGGTCACAGCACCAAAAAACATGCATGAATAAAAAAAATACCCAAGGGCAATTAGATGTGGAAGATTTGTTTGGTTTTTAATTTAAAGATTGAAACATGTTCACATAAACTTTTGTGTTGTACAGCATTTCAGGATTAAATATCAGTGAGACAAAAGTGGCCAACCTAATAAAAAAAAAAAAAGAACAATTACATTTCTGGTTAGCTCATTGAATTTGTTTTTAAAAAAAACAACAAAAGAAAACAACCCAAAAACAGTTACTTTTGTTTTCAGGGGATTTACAGTGCACGACTCGATCTCTCATCGGTATAATCGACACAAGAATAAAGATACAAAAGACCGTACAAATACGTATTCCTTGAAACAGGAACGATTGGCATCTTTTATGAAAAAAAGTTCTTCATATTACTAGCAGACAGCAGCTGTCTATTAAAAACATAAATAAACACACACACACACCCGCCATGTCCTCACATCAGTAAACATTTAAACCGGTATTCGGATTTGTTATTACATGTGAACCAAACATTTACACAGAAATAAAGAACCGTACTATGCGTGTATTCAGCACATAACTCTGTTCTCCTCCTTAAGGCATGGAAATGAGTACTATTTCAGGTGTAGACACCGAAAGCAAAAAAAACAGTGCACCGTCTACTTTGAAAATAACTCATACTGGCACAGACATTTGAACAAATATAATCAGTAATATCATGTTTAACAGTACCCTTTAGGAGAATGATAACTAATATAAGTTAAAACCACTGACCACTGAAAATAAGGTGTTTCTGTAATAACTATACATTATCATTTGGAAATATTAAACCTGTTGAAACACAATCCAAAGCGGTGAAATGTCATCTTCACAGTTCAGTGAGATTACAGCTCAGCAGAAGGCTGCGACCAGACGGAAAAACACAGGAGCAGAAAGGTAGTCGAACTTTACAACCCAACAAAACACAAAGCTGACAACACAAAAGGACAATATCATCAACTTGCACTTCAAATAGTACAAAAATAAAAATGTTCTCATCCAAAGGTAATTTAATAAATAGTTGAAACAGAAAACCAGATATCCTTTAAAGTTCATCTTTGGGGTTGATGTTGAGGCCTTGACCCAAAACAGACTGTGTGTCCAGTGCCAGGATCACCTCGTCTGCCTGTAGCCTCTCCTGGACAATGAAAATAACATGTGTCATAGGTGAAATGATAAAAACATATATTTTTCTCCTGTAAAAGATAATTTAATTATTAAAGCCAGAAATTAGATGAAAGAATTTCTATGGGCCAAACCCCACATGAACATATTCGGGAGGATGTCGTTGTCCAGATAGAGCTTACCAGTTCTCTGAAGAGTGGGTCCAGGGTGAACCACAGAGCCACTGCACACCTCTGCCCGCTGGTCACCGCCCTCACGCCATGCGGGTTCTCCCCCCCCGACGAGAAACCCACCATCCTACCACACTTTGGTTTCACAGATGCCTGGAGAAGGACGACACAAACATCAAACAGGGTCAGAAGTGAGCTAAAAATGTTTTTCTGTCCAATGGAGCTAAAAACAACTGATGAGAAATCCCCATTTTTCTCTAGTATGACATCTCACCGTGACCGTTTTGGCGTCCATTTCTGTGAATATGAACTCCCCTCCTTCGAAATCTCCATTTAGGTATAACAGTGCACTACAGAAGGTGGAGCAGAACAGGTCATGAGTTCAGAGGAAGTAAAATATCTTTTTGTATAAAATGGTGTTAAGAAAACTGAGCACAGTGATAAGGGAGGCGCCGCACCTGTAGTCTCTGTAAGTGTAAGCAGGAGGCTCCTTCCAGCATTCGTTGGCATCGGGGTCCAGCAGACAGTTGTCAGCGTGGATGGGATGGCTCAGGTCAGTCCTGTGATCTTGTTGTCCTAAATACAAGCAGCCAACGCAAAGACATCAATATACACCTGTACAGCGGCTCAACAAACCTTTTAACCTCCTGAGACCCGAGCTTTTATTTGGCATGCATTTTAGCTTTTTTTTTAAAGATACATGAGATACATATTTAATTAAATGTTTTTACAATTTTGTTCTGACAGTCCCATTGACTTATTTACATTCTTTCTATTACACAATAAGAACATGATTGGATGGAAATGTATAAAACCATTTTACTTTAGATTTCAAACAGTGTCTGATAGCATCTGCTATGAAGCCAAGAGGTCAAAGCTGGGAGAAAAAAAGAAGTATCATGGTAAAGAGAGACAAAAATGCAACGTCCTCTTATGAGGACACAGGGTCTCAGGAGGTTAAAGATGTCATTAGGCTTCTGATAAGCTTTCAGGGAGTTGTTCTCTTCTACATATAACACTACCCTTTAAATGTAGAAATACCATATTTAGAGGCCAAGAATTTCTTTCTGTAACTCATAACATCACCTTTTTCTTTATGTGGCATCTCAGATTATTCATTTGACTATTCAGAGTGTACTGGCCTTTTGAGGAAAGGCACCTTGGGTACAGATAAATTGAGTAAAAAAATATTCAATTTGAAACCTGTAAACGAGCACAATTGGATCTCTCAGAGTAAATAATGTAAATGTTAAAAAAAGAAAATAATTCACTACTAAAATGCAAAGAAAATGGAAGCAATAACAGAAAAAATAAGGTTATCCCACACACAAAGGGTCTGCTCTAAAGCCGGAGTTTGCTTCACCCCAAAACTGGTGTATCTGGATACCAATGATCTGTTAATTTTTTTAATGATGCCACATGAATGAAATCATGTGGTGGAATTTTTCCCAGAAATAGGATCAAGGTTCACGTGTGTGTGAATGAGCCACCTGTGATGGCGGTCCGACACACAAGGTGTGTGTAAGAGAAGTGCAGCGTGGAGTTCAGCACGAAATAGGACTCGATGATTCGCCTGGCTCGCTCGCTGACATCGTAGAAGAGGCGAGCGCTCCTCATCGGCACTCTGCCCTCATAACCGTACTGGGGGGGGGGGGGACATAAAAGAGGCATTTATAGAAGAATCAGGATCTCTGCCCCTGTGTCGGTGACTGTAAATGCAAAGGTGCGCGGGGGAGCTAGGGCTGTTTTTCCCGCTTTGTCGTCTGCATACCTGCAGAGTTTTAAGCACGGTTGCTCCCTCGAACTTCTCGTTGGGCGTGTGGGGAGACATTCTTCCTCTGTAGCCGTCCCCCGCCATGGTGACCGACTGGAAAACAGCCACAAAAACAACCTCAGAATACTCAACCACACAGAGTGCAGCACGGTGGTGTGATGGTCCAGTTTAGACATTCCAAACTGCCCATAGGAGTGAATGAGCGTGTGTGGTTGTGTGTCTCTGTGTGGCCCTGTGATGGACTGGCCTCATGCCCATTGACTACTGGAATAGGCTCGAGTCCCCCCAGCAACCCCATTAGGGAATAAGCGGTTACGAAAATGGACAAATAAATCACATAGATTGAAAGCTGGATTTCTCCCTAATTTCAAACGTCCTTACATGTGCCAGGTGTCTGAGCTCCGCACACTCCTCCTCGGATATGACATGGTCGAACAACACTCGCTGGGTCCCGTTCAAGGCCGCCGAGTTCTGCACCAGCCGGACGGCGTCGTACACCAGGGGGCCGCCTGGACACACGTTAAGGAAAGCAACACGCCATGAGGTTCAGCCCGGAGGTCAGCCGACGGAGGCTCGGGCCAGAGGGTCACCTTCTCTGAGCTGCTGCGTGGAGACGGTGGAAACGTTCTTCTTCTCCGAGATGGGAACGTACTCCATCCAGCCATCGGTGCCAGAGGGAATCCTGAGAAAAGACAAACCAGTTTCAACAATGTTTTCAAGAGCAAATACAGATAAACACTGCTATCCATTGGAGATTTGATTTGCAACTCGTGACCATAAATACCAGAGCAACTTTTAGCTTTAGGTCGGCACCCACTCCCCGTGGGAAGGAGAGAAAAAATCTCTTTGTTTTTCTCCTGAATACTCCTCTTGTGTTTTCCAGGTCGTTATTAACTCCGTTAACTCTTAATGTTCAGCCTGAAATATACAGCTGGGTTTTGTTTTTGGCCATTTATGAATAGCAGCCTTGTTACCAATAACCACTGCAATCACTCCAATTTCAGGCAATTTCTTTGTCAAACGCCTTTGGTTCCACATGATTTCGGTAAAGAGCGAGTCATTAACGGCCAGTCTGTCAATTTTATAAAACCGTTTAAAAGCAGTCTCTTGTTTTTTTTGCAAATCCACTGGTTTTGGCTCTTTATTGACAGTAAAATCTATAAAAGTACATAAATACAGAAAAAATGTACTAATTAAAGACCTTAATTTCTATCACTGTTGTGTTGTGATGTTAGAAATCAAGAGGATATTTTCGGGGGAGGCAGATACAGACATGGATATGACAAAACTCTGAAACAATCCTTAAATAAAACTAATATTTTCAGTTGGAGCCTATATAATTTCATTCAGAGCAGATTCCCTTAAACTGTTCAGGAACTGGAGCACGAGAAAAATAAAAAAGGCCTAATAAGGTCCAGTTTCCAGGTTTGCATCTTTGATTCTTTATTTATATGTTTTAGGCAAAACTGCATGTCAATTCTATCTCTTCTCACCTGCTTGAGTCGTCCCTTCCACCTGTGCTGCTCCAGTAATTCTGCAAAAGAGAAAAAAAAGGGTGTCTGTTAGCAGCTTATATCTTAATTTTAGAGGCGCCGGTTAACTAAAACAGACATTGACTTCTTTCTGTAATTATTTGGAGCTGGTGAGGTGACTTAAACACTGAGAGCATTCAAACGAGAGAGAGGTCTTGACTTTGCCAGCAGGTGGTGGTATTAGCCAACCCAGCGGCCTGGGCTGGCCGTGCCAGACACCTGTTACCCTGCTCCAGTCAGCCGGCGGCGGGGGAACATTAAGGCTGTTACGCACTCAGCAGGAGACACGCACCACATCAGAGACATGTGGGCCGCCTGGCAAATAAGCACGTTTGAAATGAGGCTCTCTCGGGCCACTTTCAATACCCAGTTCTCACGCCGTGGTTTTTGGACAGTGTTGTGTTCGAGGGACTCACCCCATCTGTGAATTCCACGCCCATTATTTTGCTGCCGATCCGAAGGAGCTCGACCTCCTGCTTGTGCCTCCTCAGGTACCAGTCGGCCCTCTGCAGACACAAACGCACACACTTGAATGGTTCATGACAACAATGGATCAACAGCTAATCAGACTTTTTATAAGAATGTTGTCTTATAAATCAAAGCAATCAAAGAAGGTTGGTTTTAGTCCTAGATGAGCTAATCATCGTCATTTTTCCAAACTGTGCATTTTATATACTGCTCCTCTCCTTTGAGTGAGTTAGTCTGACTTTAAGCTGACCAAATTTCCAAGACCAGTGGATGGAAGTTGATGGATCTTCCCTAAATCTAAATTAAAAGTGTAAGCCGAGCAAGGAGTATGTGAAAATGCATTGTTAGTGATGGAAAAACTAAAGAAAAAAGTGTTAATATCTGTGGGATTCTACAAAAATGAGTGGCTAAACCAATGTGAATATTTCAGAGTTTCAAAAATGACATTCATTCCTCAAATAATGAACTTTCCAGGCTGTGGTCAGGAGATGGTTTACTTTAAACGCAGCTTTTATATGGGGTGGGGTTGTGATGCACTCTGGGATGAGCATTTTTCTTTTCCCCCCAAATTACTAGCCCCCAAATGTTCAAAGATACATCCTCAGGCTCTCTCACGAGTTCCTGAAAGTTTTACCCCCTGAAGCAGGAGGAGGCGAGGCCGCCGATCTGTGGGCCAATTACTGCGCTGTAAACTGACGGGAGCGGAAAAAACAAGAGAGCTGGAAGAATGTAGGCTATAAGTGAAAAAACGCAGACATGTTCCCCTCTCTTTATGCTCACACACGCTCAAAAAACCTTCTCACATCCTGCAGGGAGCCCTGCTGGCTTTAATGAGAAGCAGGCTCACCAGAAAGATGATATTGTGTGTTTGGGACTTGAACCAAACACTGCTTGACTTTTCAAAGCAGTTGATCGGAGCCGAAGCGAATTGATCCCAGTCCAACAGAAATGCACCTTCTCAGAAACATACATTCATACTCTTATTCCCATTAAGAATAGGAAGTAATCTAAATCAGTACAGATCCATGTGCTTATAGCTGGACTGAGAAGATATGGAGATGAAATTAAACTCTATAAAATAACAGAGCTGCTCACCTTTTTAGGTCTGTATTACTTACACAGCACTCTTAAGCAAAGCTAAGTGGTTTATCATTAACAGTATTAGCTACTTTTCCAAGAAATGTTTCTCTTTATCTGATCAAGATAAAAAGAAAAAAGTAATAGCTGTTCTGTGATGGCTTTTCTCTTTCCGTTTTAACCTGGAGCCAGAAAACTCTTTCCCATAGAGTTATTGTCCATAAAATGACATTTTTGATTACCTCAATATGTAATTTATTGTTCTTTTACCCATCTGTTTACCATGAGTTTTCACTTTCCAAAGCTGATATGCCAAATTCAGCCAAACACGATGATTTTCCCCTCGTTCGTTATCTTTTAAGGCATACCATTTTCCAGCAGCAGGCTTTGTTTTTTTTCCCCTGACTTTCGGCCCCTTTGCTGCAGGGCATTCCCCTTTCTTCTGTTTCAGATGTGAAAACAATAATAAAACCCATTTAAAAACTAATCCTGACCTCTCTGGGCTTGGCGTCGTGGCCCAGGACCTCTCTGTAGAAATCCACGTTGTCTGTCATGAACTCATCTCCCTCGTGGAACAGAAGGTAGGTCAGAGCGCACGCCAACGCCTCCTCCAGCCGATCCTCTGCCCGGAGAAAAAGACAAACCAGGTTTTTTTTCCATGTAAACGAATAGCTTTGCACAGTCACACAAAGAGATTTCCGGAGTATCGAACCGTCCGCTGAACGAACTGGATGACTTTTTTTTTACGCGAAATGTAAAAAAATGTCTCCAATGTGGCGGACATTCCTACTCTGTTACTACGACGGAGTGTAGGCCACACTCGGGTCGACATAGTGGAAACAGCATGCACACAAACATTACAACAGCAGGACGGCAGCGACCGGGCGAGACAAAAGGGACTGCAAGGGCCCTCAAAACCCCAAACCTCCCACTCCACACGTGCTCCCAAAAGCACACAACAACACATTCTTTACAAGCTTGTTAAGGTGCGAGGTCAACCGAAGACTTCCTGCCACGGATCTTCTGGCGCGAGTTGAACGTTCCCAGATTCAAAGGATTTCGGAGCTAAAACTGGAAAAAAAAAAAGGAGTGATGGCGAGCATCCAACGCAGCGGTTTGGTGTGGAGAGGGTTTTTCTTTTAACAGATTAACCAGATAACTGACAGATTTACAGCTTTTGACATTAAGAATACAGGCTTTTGTGATAGGGCGACTGTTGTTAGGCAGAGCCCACAACCCTCAGCAAGCCTGTTTTCAGTGTGCGTTCACAAACCCGCTGTTACATTTGGCTTTATCAGGCCCACATGCTTGTGTTTCACTCGCTATAATTTAGTGATCTAACACCAATACGGCACGTCATCTCTTTGGTTGCATTATCACATCAATCTCCTTCCTTCAAAGGGCTTTAACAGCTCTTTCACAAGCCCCAAACTGAGTAGCTTGTTATCTACTGAACACACGCACAAACAACATAAGATAAATACAGCCAAACCAAAAAGAAGCAAGCCAAACAAACCCAGATAAAGCCAATGGTGATTAAACAAAGTTCTTTTCTGGGTGTGTTCCACTTCAGGCTGACTCAACCTGTCTGCAGCTCTTTGTGGTCACCGCAACTGCTTGCAAATGCCTGGATGTGTTTGGGCATAAAAACTATGGGCGCTACCATCCTATTTGTTTGTGCTTGCACAAATTATTCAGCCAGATGTCACAATCGAAACGTTCAAACTCACTCGGATCAATTCAACTGGAATCATTTTGTCGCAAAAAGCGGAAGAATTTATTTATTGTTGTTCTAAAGCTAAACAACATCCCACCTTTGAAATAAGCAAACTGAAGGTAGTCGTAGTGCAGGGGGAGGTAGTTCTCGATGGGCGAGAGGCGGCCCGGCCTGGTGGCCAGATCTCTGACGCACTCGTGTTCGCAGTGCAGCACCTGAGTGAAGTGATCTGCAAAAAAAAAAAAGGCTTTAAATCAGGACTTTGAGTGTAATAACTGCAGAATTCAACAAGGCTTTTTTTCTTGCTCGGTATACTAATGTCATGGTTTTTCTTCGTTAATAGGATCTATTAAACGTGGTAACACCGAAGCCTCCAAAACCTTCATTCGTTCGGGTTGCAGTTTTACTGGCAACACTACAACAATACACACAGCAGCGCTGAGGCCCATGGAGGCTGCACAACCAGCAAACGTTCCACATCAACTTTCCAATAAACTGTATCTCAGTGGCTCAGATTTGGCGTGGTATTGCTGCATTTGAAGGGAGTGACTTTGGCTTTTCAAACTAAATCAAGTGACGATGCTTAGCAAGTAAAACACCAGATGAGCAGAACAGAGAAGACGCAGGTGAGGAGAGGTGATGACGTCTCACTGGTCACGTCTGCTCATCTGAAAAATAAGAATATGAAATATTTCTGCGGATAGAGAATATGTGAGTCCATTGTAGCTCAGTGAGGCCCAAATGTTTCCAATCTTTGTCAAATGTCATTGTGGAAAATCTTAAAAATCCATGAAATCTTAGCCCTTAATCGAGTTATGATTTAGTTAAACTCTGATATTGTTACAAGATGCTTCGGTTGCACAACTCAAAGATTTCCAGAATGGTCTCATACTGAAATAAGAAATACCACACTTGACTGACGGTAAAAGGAAGAAATATAAGACACAGAATTATCATTCAGGACAGGTATACTGTCGTTTTAACCTGTGATTGGACGAAAGACAAAGGTTGCACAGCTTCTCCGACAACTTAAAACCAGACCATTCCACAAAAGACACTTTTTATTCTTTCTTTTTATTCGGATACTCATGTTATTTCAATTGCAGTAATGGGCTACTAAATGGAAATCAGCCAGTTTAATGTCATCTTATATATCTTTATCTGTCATCTCTGCGCTGGTGAAGGTTTTCCCCGATGTCCAGTTTTGAAAAACAGTCCTGTTTAATATTTGTCCAAACTCATTTGGTTTGTCTCCATGAGCTTTGTCGAATCAAGCGCAGCTAGGCCAAGATCACATAATTCCCTTTCAACTGCACTGAGCTTGGGTGTGTTTGTGTTTCCTCAGGCGAGTTAAAGCCCTGTTGTTTGTGCATCCTTTGAGGACTCCAGATTTTACGGGGTGCCACGTATCGTTTCCTTATGTCCTGCGCTGAGCAGATAGCCGGGAGCGTGGGTTATGGCACACTTGTAAATACGTGTGTGGAGTGAGCATATATGGACAGTGAAGTCACTCTCGAGCAGCTGCAGACCTTGTTGCCTCAGACCCAGATGAAGGAGCCGTGGTGTGTTTGGATCCCCTTAAGGCTCTCTAAGGAGTCGAAATCAAAACCGAATCACGCCGGGCCGCAAAGAGACGCAGGTCAGAAAACTGAAATTCAAACTCAAACAGACGGAATTCATTCGGTGAAATCCTGTCTTTTTCCTCCAAATCACACGGCAGGGTAGGTTACAATCACAAATACATCTTTTGGCAATTTAGCGCTGCGATCCCAGACTCCTCCGCAGCAGCGCCGTGGTGATTAATCCCATGATTCTAAGGAAAACCAAGCCTGGCCAAAACTAATTAGCTGTCTCTGGGTGTTTATGCAACCCCGGTCGTACGTACGCGAGGCAAAGCCCACTTGTCAGTAATTAGGCCGGGGCTACTGCACGGGCCCCGTGTCGGCTTGCAGAGGCCTGACTCCTGTCAAAGCCGTGCCCCCCCCCCTCCACCCAAAGCTGCTGCACGTGTACAACAATATTATCAAGTCATTCGGTTTTTTCGCGGAAAAGTTTGGCCGTGGATACCCGCCTTTCCTCAACATCGAACACTCCCGCTTCCATTCGGTAAGACAATGTAGGTTTAGAGAGGTCTGTTAGGCCCAATTGTGTGGAAAAGAAACAGTTGATAACACAGGATGCATACAAATCCGTAAAAATCACCAAAATCCAGTACTTATGACTTATTATGAAGAGTTCTGACACCCCTCTCTGTAGCTGCCAGTTTAATGAGTGCCAGCGGCTTCTGTGCTGAGCTTTGAGTCCAACAGCCGGGTTTTTGTTGGGGTTTTTTTTGCTGAAAGGACTGAAAGATTATTTCAGCTCTGGCCTGTTTCCCCTTCCACTGAGGTTTGAGGATCAGAGTTGATAAGGCAAATTAAGCCAGTTGAAGCAAAACATTCTTCTCACTGGGACTGTTCTGGTAGATTGCCTAAAGAAACAGTTAAAACTGAGAGCACAATTCAGTCGTATTAGGAAGATAGTTTTGAAATGTTACTGCTGGTGAGTGATTTGAGCGGAACTACTGGAAAAGCTCTAAGTCACGACTTCTTCTGGCATGTTGCTGTTCTTTCTTTCTATTTTTTTTTTCAACCGGCAGCTCACGCTGTGTCTGCTAATAGTGGCAACTATTCCAGATTTTGTGAGCTATAGTGGAAACTAAACATGAGATGACTGAGACAAATAACAGCCTCGGTCAGTCTGAAGCGTTTTGCAACCCTAATAGTTTCAGGTGAAATACGAGGCTTAGGGTTATTGTTGAGGTCAAATTTCATCACCAGGGGTCTGTTTGGTCCCGTGTTCCTGCGGGGGAAATATAGCGGGTCGGGGGAAGAGACCCCCTACGAAACAATTCTGTTGCAAAACAGGATGACCTCTGACCTCTGCTGTTGAAGCTCAGTGTTTATCTGAATATACAGTTTTCCATCGACTGTACAGTTAAAACTAAACCTGTGAGAAATGAAAATGTTTTTTAATGACCTACACATAGCATCCAAACGTGTTCATGTAGATATTTTGTTTGGAGGAACGAAGATCTTAAAGAAAAAACAAGAAGTGTAACAAAAAAGTGTAACAATAGAAGATAACGGGGGTGGAAGATGGTGGGAAACAAGGATTTCTTGAAAACCTCCGTGACATTTGACCCCTGGTGACCATATTCAAGCTGAAATGAGTTGGTCTTGCAGTGTATCGGAGCTCTCATGATGTTCTCAGACTGCTTTCTGGCTGGAGTTCAAGCTGTTTTTTTTAACTGTAGAAGAAAGTGATAGAGCATATCTTCCAAATCCCACAGCTAACTGCAGCTAATAGTTTTTGAGCGGCTCTCAGCACATCGGCATCCGCTGGTACTCTGCCAGGCACACACAGTGCGTCTTTTTGTTTGCATGATTTGATTTCATTTTTAAGAAGCCGTGTAAAATGAAGTCATTTTCCCAGCTGGGGATCTGAAGAGTTAGCTAAAACATCAAGTGCAATCTCAGTTCTTCCAAAATCAATATGCTGATGCGTGTGGACAGATCTGCTGAGCTCTGACACGTCTTAAAGGCATCGTAAATGGCTTCAAGACAGTCTCACTCTTAAATGTAATGTCAATAAATCCTAAATGAAAAGCAGGATTGTGTAAAAACAAAGCAAATGGAGAATAACTGTTTCTGGAAAAAGAAAAAGCGAAACCGCAAACTTCAGAGAATGAAAGACATTCAATTCGATTTTCTGACACATTTTTTCACCCTCTTCAGAAGTTTCTGCTGCTGCGGTTTGCCGTAGAACAACAACAACAACAGAAAACCTCACGGGTGTTTTGTGGGTTCCCTGTGAATCCTGTCATTTTTTTGTGTTTGTTTGTTCTTTTTGGTAGCAGAATTGCATGCGCCGTTGGGCTGAGCTATGATTACAGCTGGACGGAAGCGCTCCGCTGAGCTGGAACTGTTTATCTGTCAGGATCAGACATCCAGTCAACTGTGTGCTAAAAGTTCAACGCATTTTGCATCGTTAATCTTATTGATGAGAAATCTCCGATAAAGACCGACTCAACAGCTGTTTTTGAGCAGTGTTCTCTAATCAGGCTCCAGAAGTACAATCCTAATTTTATTAGAGCAGAGGGACAGTGTTTATTTCAGTGTGGATAGGCTTTAAAATCCATCCTAATCAGCTTAGAGGTTTTAATGTGGTGCAAAATGTGAAAGAAGCAAACAGTAATGGTGTAATTCAAACCAAAAAAATTAAATGATGTCACATAAGCACATAAACTGGATCTAATCAAAAACAAAACATGGGATTTCAGTAAATAAACCAACCGACTATTTGATCTCGATGTCTGTGCTTGAATTTTTGCACAAGATGTTGACTGAACACTCTTGTCGACACTTGTTCTTTGTCATGTGAAGGTAAATACGGGCAGCTTGCCGTCGGAGGTCTTCGCCCTTACCTGATACGAGCTCGTGAAGGCTGTAACGGTAGCGGAGATGATCGTGGCCCTCAAACCTCTGTGGGCCTTGGCACAGGGCCCGGCAGTGCACGTCGGCTTTATAGTATTCCGCCAAAGCCTCCTCAAACTGAGCGGCAGCTCCTTGGTAGTCGCCCGCGTCGTACGACCTCACGGCTTCTGTGAAAGAGTACTGTCATAGAGAAGAGAGAGACCATGAGGAGTCGCAGCAGATACAGTAACTATACTGTTCTGTAAATAAACCTGCACATAGTTAATAAAAGCTTTTACAAGCCCTCTGGTGAAGCAGCCATGTTTTTCTCAGCAGCTCAGGAGTAAACAGGAGGAAAAATGTTGGCCTGAGCCGCGGCCAGAGGGTCATAAGAGAATCCAAAGGCATAAATATCCAATGGATCAGTGCTTCGCTTTATTGCCCCCAACAGACTGAACAGGACAATTAAAAAAAAAAAGCTACATTTGATAATAAAAGCTAGACTAGTGCATCCACAGAAACAGCGACTGATGGTAAAGGAAATAACTCCTAAGCAGGCATTTCCCTTGATGATGAACACAGGAAGGCCGGAGAGAGAAAAAGCATGAAAACACGCAAAGCAGCAAACATTAAAAGCCTCACCACGAGTATTTAAAGCCCTAAATGAGTTTCCCAGCCAGTAAACTGTAAGGACCATTTGCACAATAGCGCGCTTATAGCGAAAAACTGCTCTGCATTCCAACGTTTGGACGGAAGCAAAGCTGAAAACTTTAAATGACAAGCCAGACTTTTTGAAAGGATCTCATACGAATACGTTTACACTGATGAAGATTGTCAATCTTACCTGGTGAGGACGGGCTTCTCGGTCCACAAAGACGTCCTCCGCGATGCCCTCGATGTCTTTGTACTGCTCCAGGTTCTGGCCCATCTCCACGTGTTCCGGATTGGCCTGGAAATATGTGTGAGCTGCTGCTGCTGCCTTCTCAGGCTGCTTCAACTGGAAAGAAAAAAGGGAAGAATAACTTAAACACTGTGCAAACACCATCCCAAAAGTGAACAATGCATCTAAAAATTCAGGAAGCAACATAAAAAATGGCCCCTTAATGCAATTCCCAATATATAAAATGTGTAAATATGTGTTAATATTAATATAGAAAAACTAGCTTTAAATTTTTCATTGAGACAAAAAGCCTGGTTATTTAAAAAAAAACTGCTGAAGAAAAGGACAATTAAGATGCAAGCTTTTCTAAATTGCTGCATCTGCAGGAAGAAGCAGGCCACTTGAGAAAAACGAGAGAAAAGTCAAAGCTTTGTATAAAAAAATAAGCTTTTTGACAGGTCATTTGGTGCACACTTCAAGTAAAATATTAGATCTGAATTCTGATTAATCATAATAAAAAGAAAAAGAGGAGATTTAGGAGGACACATTGTTCCTGTCCACATCCTGTTATGAAGGGCTGTCAACATTATGGCTAATACTGTATAAAAGATGAGTTTGTTGCACTCAGAGTACACACTTCATGGTTGCTGTAAGTCATTTAATGAAACGTTTACCAGAAGAATCCCGTCTGCTTCCTGGGAAATGTATTTTACTCAAACAAAGGGGAGAAAGAGTACTGTTGCAATGGAGATGCGTTGGACAAGTACAGAAAACAGGAAATAATGCTCAAGTAGGTAGTTGTTTTACATTGAATTTGATGTATAACCCCCCCACGCACACACACACTCTATTTGATGTGATCACAGCTGGCCTCTTCAATGAAATCTGCTTTTACTAGATACTCATTACAAAGTAGACACAAGGTCTTTGGCAGAAAAGGTGTTTTTCATATCAAAGAGAAGCTGTCTTCAAAAAGAAAGTGGGTAGAAATGGTAAAAACAGAAAAACTGTGCTAAAAAAAAAAGGTGAAACGTTCTTTCAGTTTAAAACGTCACTGGGTTCAAATCTCAGCAGTTGCGTGCACGAAATCTGCATTCACCATCAGAAAGATAGAGGAACGTATTCAGGCTTTCAGAGTTTGAGGGACTCGTCGCATAGCTCTCTATAGGCACAAGAAAGAATGTAAATATGTAAGGGACCTAAAAGGTCCTGTGAGGCAGATTAAGCCCACATGTGTTCTTTTTATGCTGAGCAGGGAATTGATAAAACCCCCCGGAATTGATTACAAAGGAGTTTATCTTTGATTCAGACATTTTCTTCATTGAGACTGCACATCAAATACGATGCAAGAGATTTTTATTCATCTCAACTGAATATTACAGCAGCCTGTTTTGATACAACGTGGACAGAACACAGCAAGGAGCTAAACCTTTTGAGCTATGCGGGTGGGCTTTTCTATTCTCCTAATTATGCTTTTAGACATAGTACAAGAAATCTAAACAAAACATAAAGATGATCTAAAAAAGCTTTCTGGAAAGCGGAGGATGATTTTATGATGAACAGACCTCATCTTACAGCTCATGCTTAAACACATCCCAGTTTTCCACAACCCTTCCACTGACAGTTGAACGTTGTGCTGTACTCCTGTATTTTTTATGGGGTTGCTTGATGAGCATGAGCTTGTGAATTCTCACTTTCATCCGCTGAGATTCGGGGAATCCCTGTTTTAAAAAAAAAGCAGAGTGTTCCTGTAAAAATGCGAAAGCCCACCCCCACGTGCTGCTGATGCAGAAACAGCGAGCTCCGTGTTTTCCGCGGGGAACACAAAAAAATGCTCCCAAAACTCTGCACAGCACATCATGAGAGATACTCTGCTCTGATGGAAGAAGCAGAAATTCCTGTTCCCACAAACGGAGCGCTTTAATCTGACGGGTAATTGCACTGTGTGACATCTCCGGGCCCATTTGATGTGGCAGAACACGAGGCAAGAGAGAAAAAGCCAGCAGGTCATGCTTTATTAGCCCTAAAAGCCCAAAGAGAGAGGGGCTGCAAAAAGCATTCCTGGCAGGATCACCTGGCTAGAGCTACCGGGAAAGACCCAGCGTGGCTGAACAAACAAAAGGAGAAAAAAAGAGCAACCGTGAGAACGAAATAGCATTTTTAAATCCCTTTTTTGTGTGTTTTCAAATCAACAGACAATATGGACCAGGGGACTGCTGAGCTTGTGTTAACTTAAATCTATTCTTTATGTCTCCTCCTAAAAATAAGGAAGAACGTCTCTTTATGTATTTTTTCAAAATGATCTCTGAAGGCCACCAAAGACAGAAAAAGACCCTGTGGCTGCCCACTGAAGAAAAACTAGACATTGTGGTTAGCTAAAGATATAAGACACCTCTTGGATGGTCTAGAGATTAATTACCTTTCCCACTTAAATCATGAAAAAATCAGAACTGCATCAGAAGTTTGTTTTAGACCAAAATAAAGAATTACAGATTGAGTTTGGAGTTTATCTGGAACCTTTGTTTAAGAAGATGAGAGGCAGTAATAGTCAGTGACATTTTTTAACACATTAGATGCTCACTTTCTTTTTATCTGGATAGATAAATCAGAGAGGATTGACTGTGCCGAGTTGTGAAAATGGAAAGGAACGCAAAGCAAAGCGTGGGGACAGGAAATTGAGAACGTGTGCTGTGGCAGACTGAGCCCCGGGGATGACAGGGGACTGACCAGTCCTGGGCTTTAAGGTGACGTTGTGCTTCCACTGGGTGGTGTGAAAGAAAACAGGCACAAACGATCATTCAATGTAATCATTCTGCACATTTTCAACTCAGAATTTGTGTTTAAAAAGCAACAAAAAAGCAACAAAATGTCGTAAATCATTCAAATAGATGTATCAGTAGTAATAGCAAAACAGCTGTTTTTATAAATGTGTAGTTACACACTAAAGAAATAATTATTTCACTTTGTTTTCCTTATTTTTCTCCACTCAGATCCACTTAACATTTTGGATTAATCAGTATTTTTAACATTCTTCGTCTCCTACATGTTCACTTTCCAAGTGGAGCCAGTTTTCATTGGGCCAGTACTGCTTACGATGAGGACGGGGGGTGGGGGTGGAAGGGGTGGCTCATTTTTACACAGTTTCCACTTTAATGTGTCAGATTTACCATCAGAGCAGCACAAGCTGCCATTGAAAGCAAGCCTTTGAACATATTCCGGGGAACACAACTTGTGCCTCGTCAGTACATTTTTCCTTCCCCGTAATTTCAAAGTGGCACCTGTAGAGATGAATAACTACCACTCAGGCTTGGCCCTCAGTTGGCCCTCTGAGAGGGGGGCTCTTGATGTGGGCACAGCGCCGTGCCAAGTCAAACGCACACGAGCAACCTCCTGCAGAACGTCCTGCTGGATTCCCGGGTCTGTAAACAGCTCCGAGACGGCGTAACAGGGACAGCAAAGACATCGTGTGACACACACACATAAAAAAAGCCACTTACACAAAATCCATGGCGGAGGAATTGGTTTGGTTTCCAAGAGCTTTTTTGCACGGAAAAAATAAAAAATTACAACCTGCCACTAAAGCAGATCAGAATGAGGAACAAAAGGGTGAATGTACCCTTCAACTATGGATTTTTAGACACTGGTGTAGACATCTTAACTCTAACTATGATCATTTTTGACATTTCAGTCATCACTCCCTTCCGTTTGTACCCGTCTGTAACAGAAACAGAACGTACTCATCTTTAAACAGACTGACCTTAGGAAGTTTATTCTTACTGAACAAATATTTCTGTGTGTCTGTGTCTGTGAAAGAGGGCTGGGGTGGAGAGGGGGGGGTTGTCCTTGGTTGTTCAGCAACTTTTGAGGCCAGGTGTGTTAAAGCAGACCAAACTAAGTTTAAAGTTACGGCTCAGACACAATATGCGGTTAGAATTTAGGAGGAGATTTTTAAAAATGCCCGCAAACCACTGCGAGTACCAGATTTAGTCACTCTTGCTTTCATACAGGAAATTTAACAGGAATAGTGCCAAATTTGGACTTTTTGGGTCAAATTTGCACATATAAAACACAGAAATTCACATCAAATGCTTCCAATAATCAATCAAAGGGAGATAAAAGCAGTTTCTGTGAGTAAGCCAAAGAGCTTTAAAAAATGCCATTACAAATGCCAACTTTTTCACTTTCATGGTGAGTCGACAACACAGTGTCACAGATTCCTTGACCCCTGTTTTAGAAAGGTGCAGTCGGGATGTGCTGAGATGCATCTGTTCTAATCTTTTATTGGACATAACTGTGGCAATAGTTATTCTGCATATCAGGACTGCTGAGTCAGCATCCCAGAGCCCAAATCATTTCTGGAAATAAGATCTGAAATCCAGATGATGTGAAGAGAAAGTGTTTTGGATGCCGGCGGGAACAAAATGGGGGAAAAAAAGGCTGGAATGTCACATTCTTTCTTCTTACTGATCAACAGGGACAGTGTGGGGTCGCAGTGAATGGAGGATTCCAGAGCCCCGACGAAGACTGGCTTTGAATTCCTGTCCATGTTGTTTACCTGTTGCCAAGCTACAAACAACCAGAATCCATTCACGGTGGACGTTTTCTACGACTCGTCAGATCTTTTTTATTTGGTCGGTGTCCCCCGATCATCCAACAAAATCAAACTACATCACTGATGAGCTCAATTCATAAAACAAATAGTTACATGCTTTAACTTGGAGACATAAATAATGTGATTCTGAGCGTATAACTGGATTTTTCCCAAGAATAAATCAAAGATGTAAAACATAAATCATGCCTAGTAAGGATTGCTTCAGTAAACTGCTAAAAAGGAGTGACAACAGTGTATATCAGCCTGTTTTCAGCTGACGGCTTCTATATAATGAAAGTTCTCAAGCAAGAGAGAGAATACGTGACAGCTTGAGATTCTTGAAAGCATTTTTTTTGGAAAGACAGAGAGAAGTGAAAATCATTTTGAAAGAGAAAGAGCCTCATTTGCTTGTAAGAAAAGTGGCCTATGGCCTGCGATATGTGGAGGCAGCGTGCTGGCACCAAAGCCTGGCAGCGGGAGCCCACATTTGTTGAGAGGGAGGCTGATTACCTTCCCGTGAGGCGTC